GCTTGGGCTAGCAATTAGACAGTGCTGTCTTTCTTAGATTTACTGACTGTATAGTAGACTTCCTCTCAAGAAATGTCTTACTGTATTTAAGTTTTGAACAATGAAATGTACTTCTACATATTGTGACCAGCACAAAAAGCTTCTAACTATTGTTTATTTTCTTCCTTCTAGATATTGAGAAACTTTGTACTTTTAGTCAGAGGTTCCCTCTCCCGTCTATGTACCGTGCGTTGGTATGGAAGGTGCTTCTAGGTATGAGACCCAAGACTTGGAAATTTATTTTAAAAAATGTTCATTTGTCACCTTATCAGAAAAAGGAGGATTTGGTTAGGCTCTGTACTGAATATGGGGTCTACCCTTAGGAGTTATGGCTCTATGATAGCCTTCAAGAAGGTGACTTCAGTGGCAAAACATTAACTATTACTCTTAAGAGTGTCAGTTTATTAATGATAGAAGATAAAGTAATGGATGTTCCTGAGACAAGGTGTGGGGAGAGCATTGTACTGGGAGAAACACCTGATCGAGGCTTTCCTGCCCACTGGGCAGCCTTAAGAAAGCTGTGCTAGGTTTCATTTTTTACATCTGTAAAGTGAGGTTACTGAGCTAAATTAACTTTCAGGTTTTAGCTCTCAATTTGTTATTTCTGTGATTCCTAACCCTAGAGGTAAACTTCCTGTTGAGTGCTATCAGAATTAAAAAGAAATTGGAGAGGTTTTACTTCCAAGAAGCACAAATGGATAAGTTCTAGTGATGAGTGGCTGAAGGAGAAGGAAAAATGATTTTGCTCAGTTTCTGTGGAAGAAAAAGTGTATTAGGTGCCACAGGTGACTGACAGTGTCCCTTTTAGCCCAGGGTTTTTGTTTTTCTCCCCCTATCATTGCTGAGCCTGCTGATGCATATACTACCCATCCATTACCACCCTTTTTTTCTTTCTTAAAAAAAAAGGAAAAAGTAATCCTAGAGTCTCCCTATGAGTTAGGTATCAGTATCCTGGTTTTACAGATGGGGAAAAGGACTTCAAGGCTAAATAACTTGCCCAAGGCCTTATAGCCTACAAGTGGCGGAGCTGGGCTTTGAGCTCAGGTTTGTAGAGCCCGTTTGAAGGAAGGGTGGATTATAGATCTTGTCTTCTTTCCAAAATGTACTGTATTTTCAGAGCTTGAGAAATCCGTAGTTCTAGGTCTGGATATAAACTATTCTAGAATTGCTGCATAATGACTTTTTTGTGTGCATCATGGCAGTCTTTGTACACTTATAATTCCAGTAGGTCACCATGCAGTTAAAATCTAGAGAATGGGTGACACCTATTTTAGTTTCTCCCTGAGTATTTTTTCTTAAATCTTAGCGTTTCAGTGGCCATCAAAATAAATGCCTTGGGAGGAGATGCCTTTTAGGTGGTAATATCAATACTACTTGTGTCTGCTGGGAAATACTATGTATCTTATTAATAATGCCTGTGGATTAGTGGGAGGTGCACGCTTGTACTTTGTGGCACTTGCTGAGCGCCAAGTCTTATTTGGCTTGTTCATCACCTCTGTCTTCCCCACCTATCTTTATCAGGTAAGTCTTTGTTGTTGTTTTTGAGGTAGTTGAAAGCACTGGAGAGTTAGAGCCGCCATGCTATGCAGGGGACAGGCTGACTCTTCCTAGCACAGGTTGTTGATTACCCGGGGACTTCGTCATGACCACTTCCTAATACCATTTTAGGTAAATATCAGAAAGGGACTTTTTAGGACTGGGCCTTAGGAAACAAGTTTGAGGTTTAACATGGAAACACTCTGCCACCTCTAGTAGTACCATGAGGATTGAACTATAGCTATTTAATCTGTACTGTATTAACCTAAATTTGGAGGACACTTGAGTATTTTTTTGGCTTTTCCAGAAGCCTGGCACTGAGCCCCATAACTGAGATAAGTAGATGTATGCAGGAAAAGGAACATTTAAGCAAGTTTGGTTATAACATGAACATGGCATCATGTTAGCTAGAGTCTTTAGAGCTCACCCAATTTTTGTTTCCCAGAATGTCCTTCAGAATATTGGATCTGTGGTGGTTTGCGCCAAAGAGTGATCCACAATAGAGTCAAATGTACTAATACACTAGCTTAGTTTGTGCCGTATACTTTCTAAATGCTTTATGTATATTAATTTTTTATGCATCACAACAAGTGCCTGAGAGGTATTTTTATTCCCAGTTTTCAGATGGAGAAGCTAACACATAGGGAGATGAAGTGAGTTGCTGACGGTTACCCAGCCAGTTAACTGTGGAGCTAGAATTTAAACCCAGGAACTTTGACTCTAGTGTCTGTGCTGCTATACGGTCTCATTAAGTTTAATGAGGCTGGAATAAATAAAGTAACATGTTTTTATTTATAGCAAAACTTAGAGCTGTGTATTGTCACCATTTCCCACATCTGTGTGACCACGATACCCTTTCTCTCATGAAGACTCTTGGGGCCAGCGTTCTGTGAAGAACATTTGGTGAAACGCTTATCCCTCCTATTTTCCACCTTCGACAGGCGAGGAACCAAGTGCCCAGAGAGATATTTGTGAGAGTTTTGGTGTTATCCGATCTGGGGCCAAAACCTAGGTATACTGAAGGCCTATCTTGTGCTCTTTCCCAGTCTTTTTTCTTCATGCCATTTGTTTGTAAAAAAGATGTATGGTTCTTGCTCCAAAGCCTAGTGGATAGACATCATGTTTCAGTGGGTGAATGAGCATAAAATGGCATCAAAATGTAATAAGGTAAGGTGGCCTTGTCAGTGAAGATGAGAGATTTTTGTGGTCCTGAAGATAGGCTACTTTGTAAACAAGTTTTAATTGTTGGGGAAGAGAAGGATTTGATGGGTTGTTGGTGGTTCTGAGATGAAGGGGGCTGTATTGTCAGTCAGGGCTGCCATAACAAAAATACTACAGACTGAGTGGCTTAAACTACAATTTATATTCTCATGGTTCTGGAGGCTGGGAAGTCCAGGGTCAAGGTGCTGGCTGATTAGGTTCCTGGTGAAGCCCCACTTCCTAGCTTGCAGATGCTACCTTCTTGCTGTGTCCTCACATGGCTGAGAGAGAGAGAGCTTCCGTATCTTTTCCTTTTCTTAGGAGGTCACCAGTCTTAGGGATCCAGCTTTGTTACCTCATTTAACTTTAATTACCTCCTTACAGGCCCTACCTCCAAATACAGTCACATTGGGGGTTAGGGCTTTAACATGTGAATTTTGAGGGCATACAATTCAGTCTATAGCAGGGGCCAAGTACAAAAACTGAAGAAGGGCTTGTAGGAGCAAAAGGTGGCTTCAGGCTGACAACCATGAACTGACTTATTAATAAATCATTATTGTAATTGATATGGTTAGTATCTTGGTTTAGATGGCCCACTTATTCAAGGGCTTTATGATACCATTCCATTTCTCTGTAATATCAATGCCGCAGTTGCCATTCAAGTGTTGATGGTATACAAAATTTAAGATTGTTTTATGGTGAGAATTTCAAAAAGAGAATAGAGTGATTAAATATTTGTGTGAGTTCTAGTGTGATTGTGATGGCAGCTTCTCTTTAATAGAGCAGGGATTTGGATTGGTGCCTCTGATTTGCCTTTTGCTTTCTTGGTCGCTGTGTAGGGATCCTGCCTCCATACCACGAGTCCCATGCTCAGGTGATGATGTATCGCAAGGAGCAGTACTCTGACGTCCTGCACGCCCTGAGAGTCGTCCGTTTTGTCAGTGACGCCACGCCTCAGGTGGAAGTCTATCTCCGCATGTATCAGCTGGAGTCTGGAAAGTTGCCTCGAAGTCCCTCCTTTCCACTGGTGCGTGGTGCTTTGTTTTGACACTTAGCTCAACCCTAGACTGTCCCATCTTGCCAGCCTTTGATTGCATCATGGCTTACCTTAGAAGCTTTCAATGGCTCCCCTTTGTCTACAGAATAAAAGCAACACATCATGGCCCTGTACATTCTGACCCCATCTGCCTAATTTTCCTTTAAGTACTATGTTTTATTTTCAAGTAATTTCAAACTTACAGAAAAAACTACAAGAGTACTCCCAAGAATTCCCATATCCCCTTTACCCAGGCTCCCCATTTAGCACATTTGCTTTGTCATTTTTCCTATATATGTATACATATATTTTTTCTAAACCATTTGAAAATAAGATGCAGACATGATATCCCATTATTTCAGATTCGTTCAGTGCATACTTCCTAAAGATAAGAACACCCCCCTAGGTAACCATCGTGCAATCATTGAAACCATAAACTTGACATTGATACAATGTTAACACCGAATCTTCACATTTGACCAATTGTTCCAATAATACCCTTTATCATAAACAATAAAAGTTTTGGTTCATAGCTTACCAAACTTTCACCCACTATTTGTACCATTTGTGGATTTAAAAATGTTTACGTTGTAACTATTCATTTTGAAATCATTTTAGACATAGAAAAAAGTTGCCAAAATAGTATAGTGTTCCATATACTTTCATTTAGCATCCTCAACTGTTACATCTTCCATACCATAGTATAATGATCAAAACCAGAAGATTAGCATTGATACAAAACTAGGAACTACTCTATACCAGCAGTTCTCAACCT